GAGATGGCTCAGTAGTTAAGAGCATTGCCTGCTCTTCCAAAGGTTCTGAGTTCAATTCCCAGCAACCACATGGTGGCTCACAACCATCTGTAATGAGGTCTGGTGCCCTCTTCTGACCTGCAGACATACACACAGACAGAATATTGTATACATAATAAATAAATAAATAAATATTTAAAAAAAAAAAACAAGCAAAAACCCAAATAAGAAGTACATACACAGAAAATTTTGGTTGAGGAGATGGAACAGTGGGTAAAGTATTTGCCCTGCAAGCTTGAGGACCCGAGTCCAGATGCTCAGAACCCGTGTAAAAGCTGGACTAATAGCATTCGTTTGTAAACCGATCATTCCTGTGACAGGATGGGACGCAGAGACGGGAGAATTCTGGGATGCTTGTGGGCCAGCTCTCCTAGTATGTGCAGCCGGGACAAGAGAGACTAAAACTCAGACACGGGGAAAAGCGAGGGGCAGAACACGGTCCAAGAACGCAGTTGGATGAGGAGTGCATCTAAGAAGAGACTCCGAGTGCTCGTGAGAAAACTCCAAGAAAATAAGAGTCTTGGGACCTCAGTTCTTCAAAAACACAAAACTGTTTTTGGAATGGGCTTTTACGCCCCTCCCAGGTGTAGCAGATAGGAGCGAATTTACTTACAACTGGCTACTATTATGTGTTTATGTGCCTCTGTGGAAAACATGATTTGCCATGTGCAGCCGTCTGCCACGTGCCTTTGTGATCGTAGCTTTACTCTTGTGACTCCTCTTAACCTTCAGTGTGTAAATTGCCCAACGCTCTTGCTGTTGGCCGTGCCAGAGGAGCAGCGAGGGGTAACTGAGGTTCCAGGTGTCAGCCCAGCAGAAGGGAATCCTCTGCAGGCCGATCCCGTTTAGGCAAGTCCACGGGAGGGACTGCAGATCCCCGAGGGTCTTCTGTTTCTGCTGCGCCTTTCCTTTCCGTGTTTGCTGCAGCTCTCTTCCTCTGGTATCTAGCATGGCGCGAGTGGACGTGGGGAGATCTCCACTGCTGTGATACAGTGTGTTTATCTCTTGGAAACAACCCATTCTACCGGGCATCTTTACCTGTGGGCTGTCAAGATGACCCCTCCCTAAGCAGTATTAATTTGGTAATAATGAGAGCCTATTCAGAGTTTTGATAACTAAGAAGTATAAGGATGCGGTTCACAGCTAAGGCCATGAGCTCCACCTCAGGAGCAGCTCGGGTTAGTGATTAAAAGGAGAGCACCCGAGTCCAAGAGCCAGGCTGGCTCTAAGTCTCTTAATGCTGAAAAAAAGGAAGTCGGGTACCATTAGCTAAGACAAAGCTCCAAATAACTTCAGATTAGAGCAGACGCCTTGCTAATAGTTTTAAGATAAATAACCCCGGAAAACAAGCTGGAGTTCACAAGGACTGTCTGACTCATTAGGCTAGGGTCGAAAATACAAAATGGCCTGATTGTTGCTGGCTGCCCTTGCAAGGTCTGGGTAATAATCAAAGGTGAGGATTCATTTCTTTTTTTTTTTTAAAGTTTTTTTTTTTATTTTAATGAGCTATACATTTTTCTCTGCTCCCCTCCCCTCAACCCTCTCCCATGATCCCCATGCTCCCAATTTGCTCAGGAGATCTTCTTTTTCTACTTCCCATGTAGATTTAGATCCATGTATGTCTCTCTTAGGGTCCTCATTGTTGTCTAGGTTCTCTGGGATTGTGACTTGTGGGCTGGTTTTCTTTGCTTTATGTTTAAAAACCACTTGTGAGTGAGTACATGTGATAACTGTCTTTCTGGGTCTGGGTTACCTCCCTCAATAGGATGTTTTCTAGCTCCATCCATTTGTCTGCAAGATGATTAATTTCTTTCACCAATTCCTGACTCCACCTTTTGTTACTGATGAATGGGTGTGCATCCCGAGGACTAAAACTTCAGCTGACTGACTGTTAGGTATAAAAGTTTAGGTCTGTGACTCCCTTTCATCATGAAGTGAGTGACTTTCTTTGTAACCACAGTTTGCAGCCCGCAGCGCCAGAGCTGACTGAGAACAAAGCCTCTCTCTTGCTGGCTCAAGATCTAGACGTGCTA